CCCCGCCCCGCCAGGGCAACCATTAAAGGAGCCCTCAAGAAAGGGGTGTGGCCCACATTACCTGCCTGGGTCTTCAGCGTGGAGGCTGCCTCCATGGCCTTGCAAAAGCTTGTCCGGGCTGTTTTGTCAGAGGTCGTCTCTCTCTGTTATTAAAAGAAAAGAAAAAGGAGAAGAAAGAAAAAACAAAATCTAGTGTGAGCTAACAGGTTGCTGAAGTTTCACGACAGAGACTTCTTCCTGTGGAAGTAAATGTGCCCCGCGCACGTCACGTGCACTTGTCGCCGGGCTCTGACATCTGCTGGGATGGAAGGGCTGGCAGGGCCTCCGGAGCCCCACTTCTTACAGGCCCCAACTGAGCCGCATTCAACATACCGCCTCGAGGTTTCCCAAACTCAAAGTGAAGTGTGGCTGACAGGAAGTGACCCTCCTGCTCCACAGGTTGCCTGAGACTCTTCAAGTGCAGCCTGACAAGGTAAGTGCCAACGCCACCGCCAAGTCACTACACTGAGGATTTCCGATTATGAGAGAAGTTCCAGATAAACCTCACAATCACATCATCAATAAAGCACGTTCCACAACTGAGAAATGGCAGGAAAGAAGGGACCTTGACATTCCATCTAGCGCTCAGCAATGGGGCGATGTGCTGTAAAAGGACCTCTCCGCAGCACTCGGGCAGTGGGGACCGGGACGGGACTCTAGGGGGCGGTCAAGGGGCTGTAGGCGGGACCCCAGGGGGGCGGGACCCCAGGGGGGCGGGACCCCCAGGGCTGTGGACGGGCAGCTGGCACGACTCACGTGCACTGGGGACCAGACACGCTGTAGCGCACTCAGGTTTATAAAAACCAAAGCAGAGGAGACACCGCAGCTTTGTGTCATGTGCCACTTCCGGAGTTATCAGTTACAACATTTGTACCTAGCTACTTAACGTGAACTGTCACATTTCAGATGTCACTTTTTTAGGTAAATCATTTCTACAAATACTTCAGAGCAGCCAGCGTCAGCCATCCGCAGCCAGGGCTGCTTAACAGCGGGTGTGGGAGGCATGTGACCATGCGCTCCACTGCCAACTGTGAATGGCGCCCGGCTCACTGCTGCACCGATGCTAACGACACCTGATGGGAACATGGGGCAGTGCCTGCCTGCTCCCCTGAACCGCAAAGATGGCGCTAAAGAAACAAGACGGATGATGCAGTGGCCACATGTACACACAGAAGCAACATGTGACATTTATTCTCCATTCTTCAAACAGCAAAAGAAAAGGAGCTCCTTAACTCACAGGCGTAAAGGACAGTGTAAGCTCCACCCAAAGTCACAGGTCAGAGAACAAGTACTGTCAGAACCACACTGAGCATAAACTCAATGCCAGGCACAAAGCCTGCTGGAGCTCTCAGCCCAGGACCAAGGAGACCCGGTGTCCGAGTGGCTGTCCAAGCGGTTAGATCAACGGTACCACGAGTGAAGCACACCGCAAACAGCTGCCCTCCCTCAGGCGTGGGCACACAACCCACAGCCACGTGGACCCTGGCCAGTGTCCCTCTCCAGCAGGCACCCGGTGAACTGTGCTCCTTGGCGCTGGCTGGAATATGCTAGAACTGGGAGGTCCTGGGGCTGCCTTTCTGCAGAGCTGGGCCACCCGGCTGCTTCCTATTCCTGGTAAATAACAGCATGAATCTCTGACAAATGGAGGACTTCATAAAGTCTACTTCTGTGCCTTTAGTGGACTTCTAAGCTTTTTATTGAAGTGTGTCATGTGTAGTTAATAGATTTGATGTTTTCACAGCAGTTCATCATTTACACATTAAATAATAAGTCTATAGACGAGTCGCTTCAGTGACAGTTTGGTGGGCTCTAAACATCCAGTGTCATTCTAGGTGCTTGGATGTTTGTCTTAACAGCCAGTTGCAGAGGTTTGTGTTCAAGTCCTGGCAGGTCACAACCTGCTCTCTTCAGCAGCCTTCTCCAAGGCGCCCTGAGAGGAGTCAGCCCTGGTATGCCCAGCACAACACCCACCCTGCCCGGCCCCGCCCACCACAGGGCACGGTGGGGCCTCCTGGTGGGGCCTGCTGCATCCCTCTGCCCCACTGCTGGCCATCCAGCTAAGACTCCTCCAGCCAGGCAAACTGGATATAATTACCTTCCAAAGACCATGCTTGTCAGTCCTGAGCCTTTTTCTGGGCGTGTCCTCAACTTCAGCATCTTCAGTGGGATCCTGTGTCCTCTTTGTGTGGGTTCTTTTTTTCCCATTTAAGTTACCTTGGAATGGGATGGGGGAGACTTACATGAGAAACACCCCAGGAGCCGCCTTCCCGAGCACAGAGCAGCTCCCGGGGGTCTCGGTGCAAAGCCAGCCCTGATGGGTTTCCTGCAGGCCCGCGGGCACCTGGGGCCTAATGTCACCCATAAAACTTTGCATCTGATGACTGTAAGGGGCCGTCACCTGTAACATCAAATCCTGGAAACCCCTCATCTCACCTAGAGATCATTATCCTGGTATTGGTTATAATTATATTTCAATGTACTACAGCATTAAATTTAATCCAGTATTTCTTAAAAATCCTTTACTTTCTAACATTCAAAGTCAAGTGGAATTGAAGCTGAACTTCAAAAAATACACAACTTGCTGCTTTTTATACATTTCCTTAAGAGGCATCTTAAGTAGCACTACTACATTGGTCCACATGTTAAGGGCTGTCCACATGCTTGCTCGGGTGTTCCCAGGAATATCAGCCACTCTGAGACCTAAGGTGCCCGAACGGTACTGATGGGAAAAGTAAGACAGGATCCGAGTGCAAACTCTAGAGAGATGAGTAGTTTGAACACGCCAGCGTTTATTTTAAATACAAATCCAGTATTCCATTTGCATGACTGTTTTCCAGAGTTTTGGGGTTTACTCCTGGACTATCATCAAGCGTCATGTGGGAAGGCACTGTCATCCTGAACCCTGTGGCATCTGGCGGTGCCCAGGGCTGACACCGGCACAGGGCCTGGCACCACGAAGCACTGGCCCTCCCCAGCTGCCAGTCCCAGACCACCGCAAGCCGGCCTGCTGGGCGGCCTCACTAAGCTCCCATCCTGGCTGCAAGGGGACTCCCAGGAAGAGAGCTGTGGAGGGATGGGAGTGGCACCTGCCCAGCCACTGCTCAAGAAGGCCACCATAGGGCCCAGCCTGGCCAGAACTCCTCAATCAGATCTGCCACCTGCCACAGCAGCTGTCACCGTGACTCCTCTTCGCTTTACTGAAAGACCCTCCCAGCCCAGGACGAGGCAGTCACCATTCGCACAGAAATAAGTACTCTGGGCTCTGTTCGAGTTCAGTGAGACAACGGGACAGCTGACACCATGGGCATGATCCATCCTCTTGGCTGTTGGCACTGGGGTTGGAAGGTAGGGCTAATGGGTCTCCAGGAAGGAGCATACACCTGACACACAGTGAGGGCGGAAACAGACCTTTCCCTCTGTCCAAAATGACAGTGTGACACATAATCACATCCACACTCACTCTTCAAGGGTAAGCTGAATCTGGCTTCAGAAAAACCCAACTCACTCCTAAACACACCCGTCACAGAAGGTGGCCCTTTCCTAGACTTGGCGTACCAAAGCAGTCAGGTTCAATGTTTGCCTTTTAAAGAAAATACACGGATAGATCCTAAACATCCTCACTATTCTAAATTGCAGCATTTGCAACCAACACTGAACAAAGTGAACAAAGTCCAATATTAATGTAACTAGATAAGTGATGTGGACAGAGATCGAGGAGCCCTACAAATCAGGACGGATTCATCTGTCAACAAACAGGAAGGTGACATGGGATGTGCACAACGACAGCCACACACACAGCGCTGGTCTAGAAGCACAGCTAGAGCACACAAGGCAAACGCCAATTACTTCCGGGCCTCGGTCTCCTTCCAGGTGAGTCTTGAAACACTTTACGTTTGGCCTCTCCAAAGCTCTTCAGTGATGAACCTTGAGAGATACAGAATGTTTTTGTATTTTACATCGACACCCCAATACATCACACTTGTTCTTACATTGAAAACATCCATTTCCACAAGTGTGTCCAAGCATGCCGATGACAAACCTGACCACTGCTACACTGTCCCCAAAGCGTACAGTGTGGTCTCCCTCCTCTGGCCACTGCCCGAGCAAAGCACCACTATTTGCTTTTTAAACTAAAAACCAAAGGACACCCACATTTAAGGACAGTTCACAATCACCCTCCTCACCCTGACAGCTCTCAGGCAAACAAGCCAAGAATGCCCCCTCCCGGCCCAGAGCCCCCCGCCCACCTGCAGAGGCCACCCTCGTGAGATGCAGGAAGCCCCTGCTGACCAGGAGGGCAGCATCCCTTCAGCCTCAAGTCTGAAGCTGCCATGCCACATACACCTGCAGTCCCAGAGACCGCCCGTGCTCCCTTCCTTCAGCGTCCTCCCTCACCCCACCCCACTTGGGCACAAGAGTGAGGGGCCCGCAGGCCAGCCGGGATCATAGGGAACAGCGCTCATGACAATGAGCAAGGAAATGTACACCCGCCACCCTGCGCAGGGGCCCGAGTTACCCGAGTCTTCCTCAGGCTGGGCGGAGGCCACGGGGGCGAACTTGGTGTGGTAGCGCGCCTTCTGCTTCTCGCTGAGCATGTCCCACTGGGATCCCAGCAGCTCTTCAATCTCCTCGCCGGAGGCATCTGGGTGCTCGGCCACGACCTGGGGACGCAGGACAGGGTGTGGTAAAGAACCTAAGCACCGACAGACACTCGTCTGGGTGTTATTTTGCAGAAAATCCAATGCACGGCCCTGCAGAACTTAGCACGTGGCACTTTCATTCCCACATTCACACCCAGGGAGGCTTCAAAAAGAAAAGAGTGCTTAAGTGATGCTGTGACTCATTGAAAACTCATAAATGGAAATAGCATGGCTGCAAACAATCCGATGGTATCTATGTAAATACAGGAAAGGACAAACTAAGAGAAAAACTACCTGTCCAAGGCCATTAAATTATTAGTAAATGACAACTTTCTAGGCATCCTTGAAAAATCCGTGGTAGGAAAGTGCTGTGGCAACGCTACCTGCAGACACAGGTGGGGTCCCAGCCTGGCTTCCTCCTGGCCTCATCGTCTCAGGCACACACTCAGGGAGGGTGGCATGCAGGTGATGTGCCACGCAGCACACCCGCCCTGTGCCAGGCCAACCAGCAGTCCTCATGGGCACAGCCCTGTACCCATCAGGGCTGCCAGCATCAGGCTCCCCCAGGCCAAGCCTGCAGGTGGTTCACGCACCCTGAAGCCTGCTCGGCAGTCCTCCCACTGTGATCACCTGGGGAGTCGCAGGTCCTGGCCAAGACCAGTCCCACCCAGTGGGCCCGGTGGCAGCATTTTAAAAAACCCCGTGGGTTCATCCCATGTGCCTAAGTGTGGGAGCCACATCAAGAGCAGGGGTGCAGAGGTCAACTGTGGCTCCCAGGCCAATCCTGAGCCCTCCTTGCCGTGGTGCCTGTGAATGAAGAACCGATTTTACACTTTTCAATGGAAGTTACAGGAATTCAAACATCAGTGCCCATAAACAAAGGTTCCCTGGGACTCAGCCCCGGCGTTCCTGTCCACACTTCCTGGGCTGCTCTCGGTGACTATGACAGACCCGTCACCCTTGCGGCCTTTCAAACAGGTCTGCCGACTGACTCAGAGCGCCAGCCCGGCATGCATGGCTCATCCACCCATCGGCTCTGCGAACGGGGGTGACTGGGGGTGTTGTGTCCGTTCCCGTGACATGGGGTCACCGGTTAATGCTGGCTGGTTACCACCAGATGTAGCCAAACCCATTCTCACAACATGGTCCCCACAGACATGTCCCCACACCTCCCACGCCCTTCCTGGCCCTGCCTCTGTCTGAGGCAGAAGTGAGTTCTCACTGTGCGCCTTCAGTGTGATGCCAACAGCAAAGCTGAGCCCTCAGCTTGGGAGGGAGGCTCAGAGCCCAAGGGCCGCAGCCCCACCCACTGCAAGCACCTCCCCCCCCATAGGCACCGCATGTGGGCAGTCTCTGCGGTAACAGCTGGTTTTCTGCGCCTTGGTTAGAATAGCAGGGTCGTCTGAGAGCAGTTTGGGCCCCCAAAAGCCAAAGGGTCTCCGGACAGTGACTTGGATTCTCCCTTCCCCCTTTTCTTTCATAATCTGGAACAAGTGGAAACAGACTAGGAACAGGCCAGAGTGTGGCTGGCTGGGCGGACTCAGCCTGACAAGGGGGTGCAGGGCACATCCGAGCGCGCTTGTCTCCCGCAGCTGCACCTGCACAGGCGACGCACTCACCACAACGCTCAGTGCCTGGACCACCCTAAACCCAGCAGTGCCTCACTCAGCCAAATGTCAGCTCCGCACAGGGGCTGCTTCTGGGCCTGTTCTGGGAGCTGTCACTGCCCTGAGTGTTGTCAATACCAGAACTCCCTGTGGGGTGGGGCAAGCCCTCAGGCGAGCTTCTCTTCCGTGTGGCTCCTGAGCTCCCGCTTAAAAAAGCACAGAGAAGGTCCTGCTGGGAGTGTTATGAGGACTATACTGATCTATCTTTTAACACAGGAGACTGACAGTTCCAACTTCACAATCCTGACCCTTCCCATACGTCATTAGAAGATCCCTCTTCATTTAGATCTGCTAAAATAGCAGTTCCTTTTCTCAAAATATCATACACACTTTGTTCCCTTTATTCCTCGGTAGCTTGTATTTTTGTTGCATATGTTTTTTTGTTTGTTTGTTTGTTTTTAGCTGAGCCCTCCTGCCACCTGTTGGCAGCTCAGCGGCTGCTCAGCTCGGGCCGGGAATCAAACCGCTGTTGCTCAGAGCTCAAACTCTTGAGCGAGTTCTTAACCAACCGAGCCACTCGGCCGGCCTTGTTGCATATCTTTATAACAATGCCTTTCCTATTTGCTTCTGCTCCTGTACACTGATCTTATATCCAGCAGTCCTGGTGAACTTAGGAGTTCTGAAGATTTTCTGTCGGTTCCCTCAAGCTTTCACATAGACCCGTACAATGTCAGCTGTTTACTCCTTCACAATTATGCCTGTTTCTGCTTCTTATCTTACTGTACTGGTAGTTTCACCACAACAGTTAATACAAGTGGTGACAGAAAGGCATCCTGTCTTGCTTATGATTTTAAAAAGAATGTTTCTGAAGTTTCATTAGTAAGTATGACACTTGCTGCAAGCTTTTGATGGAAGACCCCCCCACAGGTTAGGGGAGTTCCCTTCTCATCCTGGCCTAACTGCATCACAGAGCAATGGATTTTACCAACAGCCTCTTCTCCATCTATTAGGATACCCCTCAACACGAGAGTGAATCAGAAAATATGTTCCAGCATTCCACCACCCTTGCATTCCTGAGAAAAGCCCTCCCAACCCACTCACTTCAGTAGTGAGCACAGCCAAAGCTGGGGGCCTAACCCCTTAGTTCTTGCCCTACTGACAAATGGTGTCGTCTATGAAGACTAAGAAAATTATTCAAATGTTTGCATCACTGAGACGTTACTATCCTTCTGAATATCATGGACATAAGTGCTCTTCCTACACGCTGCCTGTGGCTGAGACACTGGGTCCGTGACACGAACGCACTCTCCCCGGCAGCTTCGGCACAGCCTCGGGGGAAAACGCTCACCCAGGCCGAGCTTCCAGCACAGGGCAGCCCCGTGAAACCCACAGGCCACGTCCCGCTGTCCAGCACTGTCTCACCCACACTGCGGGGAGCACTATAGTCTAAACCCAGGGTTAACACGGCCATCCCCTAACACTACCTCCTCGTTACGTCTAAAACCCACACAAGGCTCACTACAGACTGCCCTGCTAAGGCCGAGAAGCAGATGGTTCCACACTGAGGGGTACTCTGCAAATCCACAAACATCCCAGAGGGAAGATGCAACTTCTCGGAAGCCATCCCAGTACCGACCTCGTCCCTGTGCTTCTGACAGAAGACCAGGAACTGGGACGCCGCATCCCCCTTCCTGCTCCGTGGGGTAGAGGTCGCAGCCTTCTTCCTCCCGGGAGGAGACCCCACTCCTCTCTTGGGGTCGGCCTCCGCCCGCTTCTGAGGTGTCGTCTTCACTATCACCGGGTCACTCTCTTGGCTCTCGGCAGAGCGAGACATCTTGGCTCTCCGCCTTCTCTTGACAGGCATGTCCCCTTCTCTCAGGGACTTGTGGTTCTCGGCAGCTTCTTCAGTGCGCCCCGAGGGCCCCGCCGCAGCTCCCAGAGCCTGCACAGCAATGCCGGCCCCCTTAGCGGCGTGAGGGTTCAGATGGAGCTGGTCCCCCACGTAGAGGAACGTGAACTTGGCTCTCCGCTCCTCTACTGACATGCTTGCAGCTTCTTCTGCTTGAACGATGCCCATTTCCCACTGGGCCCTCAATTTCCCTGAAATAGGTTTCAACAGCTGAAAAGAAAACATAAGGGCTGTAAGTTTCGTTATAAAACATAAAAGCTAACCCACTTTAAAGGATACTTTTCGAATGTCATAAATTTAGAAATCAAAAACTATAAAAACCAATTAACTTGAAGGTTTTAGACAGAGTTCAGCCCAACATAACTTTCTTTAAATTAGAAATCAATTTTAATCACATTTAATTAAGATAATAAACACATATTACATATATATACATATCTATAATAAAAGGGAAATAAAAATTATAAAACAAATTATCCCTGGGAGTCATCAAATGAGTAAAAAGAATAAATTGTGTCTCTAATTAACATGTCACATTTTATAACAGCATACTTGGGGCAAAGTAAACAATGACAGACATAAGAAGCCATTACACTATTTCAAGCAACCATAAGTTCAAAACAAGATCAATAGTTAAGAATAAAAATAAAACTTTTGGTCTAAAATTGTACTTAAGGAACATCTATCACCTTAATTTTCTCAGCTTTCGTGGGTGCCTGCTTGGCACTTTCCTGGCATAATTTTTCAAACTGTCCTTCTCCTTCAAAAGCTACAAGGCTCTTCTCAAATATCCAAGCTCTCTCTGGGGCATCACCAAAGAACTGTACGTGATACTGGCGTGCACTCTTTTTCTGACCTAGTTTTTAAAATAAAATGTTAGAACTTGAAAGTTAGAATTTGTGATGAAATTAGGCAAATCCATTAATAATTACTGACATGGAGTTGGGAGCTGCTTTGAAGTTGTCTTACTTGGTGCTATTCGAGTGTGTTAACCTCAGAATCAATCCCACTCTTTCTACGCCCACCATGCTCCAGGCCAAAGAGGGAAATGCATTTACAAGAGATATGGATAAGATTCAAAACCAACTGAGAAAGAAAGCTGCCTAAACACACTCCTTTATCTCATCCCTTCCAAGAGCCACTTAAAAAGATGCCCAACAAATAAGAGAGGACATCAGCAAAAGAGCCTTTCAACAGAGAGGGGTGAGGCAGCAGTGAAGGGGCACAGAGTAGGGTCAGACGGCCTGGGTTCAAACCCCAGCCTAGGGCCGGCCATTCTGTTACAGTGCTCAGAATGGGATAAGGGCACTAATGACCTCCGAGGGCAGCCATGAAGCCACAGGGTAACCCCTGAGATGTCCATTACTGTCATCCTTAGCAGAAAGGAAGCAGCCACATCCCACAATGCAGCCAAAAGGGGCCTGGTGAGGAGAGAGAGAGACTTGTCCCAAAACCCAACAGACAGGGTGCCAGACCCGGCTGCGGCAGAATGAGGCAGAAACAAGGAAGTGGTTATAAGGTCAGATCTCTGGGCCAGGAGAGCAAAAGTGGGGGTGGGGGGGTCCTCCATCAGGGAACTGCCAGGCCCCGTTCCCTCGTACAGGACGCTGGCCACGGAAAATCAGAGGACATTTCCCAGAGAGCTAACGCACTGATTCTTCTGCAGATCCCCCCAACTAAGCGGCCAACAGAAGCCGGACCCTCAAAAGTAGGCTAACAGCCGCCCCGCACCCGGGCTGCCCGCCGCTCGGAGGGCCCGGGCCCAGCACCGAGGGAGGCTTCCACACGAATGATTCCCAAATACAGACAGTGTCAGGAAGAGATGACACCGACAGAGAAAAACTCGAGTTTGCTATGGAAAGAAAACACAGAAAACGAAGGCGCTAATAGAAATTTTAACACACAATTATGAAAATAAAATTCAGTAAGGAAACTTGGAAGGTAAGTGAAGAAATCTCCCAGAAAGAAGAAAAAGATTAAGATGAAAACCATCTAGTCCCCTAAGAAGCCTACAGGACCAATCCAGGAGGTACCAGCTGGCCTTCTGGAGAGAGAAACAGGGAAACTTAGCAAAGAATAAAAGCACAAGAGCAGGGCCGGCCGAGTGGCGCGATGGTTAAGAGCTGGCTTGGGACGCCAGAGGGCCCCGGTTCGGATCCCACATATGAGGGCCAGTGACACTGCCCTCTACAGCTAAGATGCTGAACAACAGCTCAACCTGGAGCTGGGTTGACGTGAGTTGCTGGTGACAGTATAGGCTGCAGCCACTGCTGCAGTGGGTTGCCATGGGCTACCGTATGTAGCCAGCAGCCAGCGTGAGTGGCTAGCAGCCGCCGTGAGTGGCCGTCCAGAAGCCGGCTACTGATGTGCCTCGCCCGGGAAGAGCGCAATGATGGTGCCAGCTTGGGCCAGGGAAGCAACGTCCTCCACAACTAGACTGAAGACCAAAACGACAGCAACTTGTCTGTTCCCCTGCCCCCAATTCCCCACCGCTGTTCCCATCCCCCCAATTCCCCAATAAAAATCGTTAAAAAAAAAAAAAGAAAAAAGGAAGTCTAAGATTGCTGCTGTGCAAAGGTTAAGAGTGCCAGCAACACAGGCTGAAGCAGGAAAAGGAAGATTCTAGGAGAGAGCTGTAGGAGAAGAAAAGGTGAGAGGAAAGAACTCTGCCACACCAAAAGAAAATCTGCGCGGCAAGGAAAGAGGGTAAAAGGAGGTGACCCAACAGACAGAAAAGGAAAACAGCAGTCAAGCACAGGTTTTCATTTTTTTCCCCAGTGGGAGAAACAGGATGAGCTTTAAGGACAAAGAAATGAATACCTGAAAAAAATTAGGGCTGTATGAACAGCAAAGAATATGATTGTAGGGCAAACTGAGTGGTTCAGTTGGTTAAGAGTTGGCTTAAGAGCGCGAGCTCTGAGCAACAGGGCTGCCGGTTCGATTCCCACATAGTCCAGTGACACTGAGCCTGAACTGAGCTGTCGCTGAGCTGCCAACAGGTGGCAGGATGGCTCAGCTGGTGCAACAAAAAGATTGCCTGTTCGATGATGGGCTACGCCCACCCGCAACTAAAACTGAACTCAGCACCTTGAGCTGAGCTGCAGCCCAGATGGCTCAGTGGATAGAGTGTGCCCTCTTAACAACAAGGCTGTTGGTTCAACTCCCGCAAGGGATGGTGGCTCTGTCCACCCGCAACTAAGATTGAACACAGCACCTTGAGCTTAGAGGCCACGAGCTGCCGACGGGAAGCCAGCTGGCGACTGGCGTCCTCCACAACGAAGACTGAAAAACAACAACTTGGCTGGTCCCCTTCCCCAATTTCCCAATAAAATCTTAAAAAAAAAAAAAAAGAATGATTGTAAAAGAAAGGTAATAACTCCAGGAAAAAACAAAAGGTTGTATAAGAACGAAAATACAATTACAGAACACAACTTGGTTTTTCTGAGTGATATTTACACAGTCAAATTACATACACACTTATGTTTGATAAAAACAGTGAGTTAATTATGAGGATGAGAAGGGAAGAAATAGGAAATGATTGAAGAGATCAATTTTCATTTTCCATAATAGAAAGTCAACAGAAAATGTCTAACTGATAAATAAAAAAAAACAGTAGTGAAAACTAGAAGAAAATGTTGAAAGAATTAAAAATAATTACTTTTTTGGTGGGGACTGGTTTTCACTATTAACCGCTCAGTACAATCTGGCTTGTTTCTAAGTACGTATACTGCTCTGATTTAGAGCAGCTAAGATTCAGAAACACATTAAGTGATCTGTGACTCCTCCCAATACACTTTAATACTCTGAAAGAACTTTCCTTGGTGAGGAAAATGAATACAGCTGTATGTCAGTGCATTTGCATAATGAAGAAACTCTGTTACAGTACATATGCAATAATATGAACGTACATCATCTTATATAAACTGTCAGTGACACAAAAAAACGCTCCCTCCATGTCAGGTGGAAAAATGCAAGAGAATACTACAGTCTGATCCCAAGTTTGTAAAATAAATGTAACATTTTTGAAGTTCTTCCCTGCCTAGAAATTTGGTAACAGTGTAACCCAATTTTCTCCTATTTGTATGGGTTTCTTTCATCCATATGAATTTTACTTTGGTCCAAGTTGAGAGTCTTTTATTACCACATAACTAACAGTTGTTCCACCACCATTTATGAGTCATCCTTTCTTCCCGGGCTGATTTCTAGGTTCATTAACCACGACTGTCATTGACACCCCACCCACACCCCCTTCTAAGAAGACCTGGCTCCACCAACAGCCCAGGCGCCTCATTTGGTGCGATGCTCCTTCCTCCTCATCATGGCCTGTTACATTCATGAGGCCTTGACCCGAGCCTTTCTCCTGACTCTGCTGTCCCTGTGATGTGACAGCAGCTGCTCATGTGTGGATCTCAGACAGAAGGCTGCCTCCAGGGAGGAAGGGAAGCCAGGCATCTACAGAAGCAAGAACAGGGCACAGGGACAAGAAACCAGAGCTCTTGGGAAACAAACAAGCATCACCATGCCTGAGTTTCCTAGTTTGGTCTCTGGGGGGCACCAGAGCCCCCAAACAGGTAAAGCAGCAACTGACAAAACTGCAACTAGAAAAAGGCACATCGGCTCTCCCAGTGAGAGGTTTTAACACACCACTCTTAGTAGCTGACGGAACAAGCAAAAAAGAAAACAACCAGTAAGGAGAGTATACTGCCAAATACCCCACCATGTGGGTAAGTCAGGTTACCTGCCGTTATTTTAGAAAATGTTTAGTTTAGAAATCAGGCAATGAGGTTCCCTCCATAAAATAGAAAAAGCGTTGACAAAAATCTCCACAGCAGAAAATTACTTGATTCCAGACCGGGTATCTAGTCAGAAGCAGACGTCCCAGGGTGGTGAGCCTGCCACACGCAATAGAGTCCCGTTCTCTTTATGGTCTGATGCTGAAATCAGACATTTAGCTTCTCTCCAACCTAACGGGCAGGCCTCCGAGCTGCTATCCATCTAGGCGCCCGGGACATAGCGGCCAAGACAGGCTCTGCTGCCACATATCAAACCCAGGGCTGGGTCTCATCACTGCCTGGAGACCCCCCCACCTCCCGATAAGTGTCCCCCACAGCGATAACCACAGGCAGTGCTGATCTGGGCCTCTGCTAAGAACAACCAGCTTTCTTCCAAGAAATGGCTGATTCCAGGACAGGGGCAAACAAGGGACGAAGTGAGCCTGGTACCTCGTCAGGCCACGGGAAGGAAGTGCTCAGAAGCTGATGAGACGTGTTAAAAGGACACAGCTCAAAGGGACTCAATGGGACTCCCACTGGTCAAATTTGGGGATGATGTGAGCATTAAAAAGAGTGACTACTGCAACACATTGTTTTTAAGAGGGAGTTCATTTTCACAGAAAATGCCAGCTATTAATAATTCAACACAGAAGGCAGGATAAAAGTGGCCCGTTACCGTCGGAGGAGCCAGTGGATGGACAAGGAGCACTAAGCCAGGGGGAAGGCTGGAGGGAACCCGGGCTCTAAGCATGGTCGCAGGTCACTCACCAGTGACCAAAGGGACCATACCTTCCCAACAGGGAGTTCTGGGATGTGGGACAGCTGCCACCAGCAGCTCCTGGTGCCTGACACCATTCAAGCAACACAGGTGGCCTTCCTTCCGTCACCCCCATGTTCTTCTACAGGTTCCTCTGACCCCTTTTCTTTTCAAAGGTCACTTGACTCTCCTTTGAGCGGGAGGGTGGTCACCCTAGCTCTCTTCCTTCTAAACTGCTTTCCAAATGCACGTGATCAGTCCTCTGACATTGATCTGCTGGGATTCCAGAGCTCCCTGTCCTCCAGCCCAGGACAATTCCGAGAAGCACTGTCAGGGCTGCGCCCTTCTTCCTGCAAAAAGGCCTTCAGTGAAGGGCCGAGTTTGAGCCCTTCCCACAGTGACCTTCACGTGGTGCTCCTGCCTGGCCTTGCAGACTCCCATGGAGAAGGAGCTGGGGGCGGGGAGTGCTTTCTAGGCTGAGGAGCTGCAGAGGTGACAGCCAATGCACACAGGCACCCTGGTTCAATACTGGAGTGCAGACAACAGCAGTATGGGGAAATCCTGCCGACTCCCGGGGAAGTCTAAGCACGCCATGGCGACGGACGACATTACTGGCATGATGCTTTCCGAAGTGTGGTCGGGGCCAGGTCTGTTAGGAAGCTGGCCTGTTCCTAAAGGTCCCCGCTGGCATATTTAGGGAGAGCACCATGGTGCCCACAGCCTACACCATGATGGGCTGGCGAAGGGAAGTGTTTACAGAAAGAGAGAAATGGAGCAGGTCCAACAAAAGCTCCAAGGTTGGGTGTCCACTGCATTCCACTTTGAACCGTAGGCTTGCAAGGTTTTTAAATAAAAAAACCAACAAGCAAACAATAAATAGTGTTTCACAAAAAATTCAAGATAGAATCCAAGCATGACCACCTGGCATTGTTATGAAAACTGGGGGAATGCCTGGTGACATAAAGGCACTAAAAATGGGTACAAACTTACTAAAATTAAATGGCCAAACACCAGAATCCTGCAGGGGACGTAACTGGTCAACAGGAGTGTTTTCAGGAAGCGCCCAAGAGGTGACCAGGGGAGAGGGAGCAAGTACCATAAAAATTCAGGTTGTGGGAGTAAAAAAGAGGGTGATAATTCGGTGCTCACTGTCACTGTTAACACCTTCCCAAACCGTGGAGCCAGCATCACCCTCGTTTTCCAGACGTAGGGAAACTGAGGCTTGAAGCAGTCCGTTGCTCCCCAGACCAAGCAGCTGAGCGGGATCCCGGCAGGCTGAGTGCAGAGCGCACGCCTCCACTCAAACACCTTCCCCAGGGAGTACAAGTGCTGCCAAGAGGGGCCGGGAGGGGAGAAGCAGGACATGGGAGAGAGACAGACGCTGCTGTCAGCTGGAGAGGCCGCTGCAGACTACAGCGCAAACCTAATGAAGTCAGGGGAAAGATGCAATGACATTCAAGTTAAGGTTGTTAATCCCAGCACTGGGGACAAAGAGGCATGCAAGGCACCTTCGGTTCCACAGGGTCAAGGTGCCAGGGGCTTCAGAGGAACAATGGGGAAAGCCCCAGACACTGAATGGAATCACTAGGCATCTGGCTTGTGCTGCGCTGCACAGACCAATGACACGGGAGTCACAGAGCCACGCTGACGTCTGCTTTGGCTTGCTGTATGGGGACCATGCCCACTTCTAGAGAGCTGGGAAGAACTGGCAACACCTCACACACCGTGTGCCTGCTGAGGCTGCTGGGGCATGAGGGCGGCAGCCCCGCTTCTGTCTCACCGGTGTTTCTTCAACTCTGACCAAGTCTAGATGCCTCTGGGGGCATGCTGGTCCCTGAAGCCCCTGGAAGGACTCCCAGTGTCTGGCAAGCTGAGGATGCCAAGGACCCTCCACGGAGTCAGAGCCGAAGCCAGCCCACAGGCCCTCCTCTGGCCCCCATGAGCTCTGCGTGCCTGAGCCTCGAGGCAGAGTCCCACCATCCCAGCCAAGTCTGTTTCCCAGGGAGGCACCACCGTTCCCCCCGTCCCAGCAGCCACCTCCTCCCACAGCCAGCTGGCAGGACCCAAAGCTGCACTGCTACTCTGAGAGCTCCACCTCCAGCCAAATGCCAGGAGGGACCCTGCGCTCTCGCACTGGTGCCACTGAGGCCACACAAGGTGCCCGGTGCCCATACTTCTGAAGGGTGTGCCAGTCACCTGGGGAACTGACTTACTCAGCTCCCCTTCTGTGCTCAACTCACCACATCTCACCTTCCTCAAACTAAATTCAAACTTTACTCTAGCAGAACTTTCTAGAAGACTTTCAAACCACCTGATCGCGTCTTTTCCTCCAAAACATGAGATTTTGTTTTATGAGTTGCCCATTATTTAAATTACCATCTGCTTTAATCTATCAATAACATTACATTCTTAATATGTTCAACTATTCCCTGTACCAATTTGTATTCCCAAGTTTCTTGACACCAGAGATGATCATTTCTAGCTTTTTACCTTCTTCCCACAGACCTAATAAAATTAACTGGGACATTTTTGTAACTCAAACTTAATATATACTATTTCTGAAAATTATGCTAAAATAAGCCATCACTGTGTATCTAAGTACCAGTAAACGATTCACCATAAAACCTGAGAAGCAGCACAAGACGAAGTCCGCCTCAGCTTTAACACTAACTCAGTAGACAAACTAACTGAACAGAAAAAGAAACGACACTGCATCCCATCTGATCCATCTCTAACTTCAGCTCAAGTTGCAAAAGTGAATCACAGTAAACTCAACAGCAACAAAAAACAAACAACCCGATTCAAATAAGGGCAAAGGGCTCAAATCAAGTCCTTTCCCCAAAGATATGGCCAATAAGCAAATGGAAACACACTCAACATCACTCGTTACCAGGGAAACACAGATCAAAACTACAGGAAATAGATGTTGGCTGCAGGGGGTGAGGGTGGGGGGGCAGCTGTATAATGGGGACAGTTTCAGATTTATAAGATGAAGAGTCCGGGGGTGGACGGTGGGGATGGCTGCACAACACCGTGAATGTGCCTAATGCCCCTCAACTGTGCACTTGAAAATGGTTACAATGGCCAATTCCGCTATGTGTATTTTAACACAGTAAAAAAAAAGAAAGGAAAAAGAAAAGAACCACAGTAGGGCTGTTTAAGGAAGAACAAAAAGGATGTTGGAGAGGAGAAAGAGTGAGTGCAAAAGAGAAAGATGGAAAGACTGCCCAAACGCAGTACCTTTGAGTTTGGTATAGCTGTGAAGGAGGGGGTCGGCAGAAACCATGCATGGCCACCAGGGGTAACCGGACACTTTGGACCACACCAGATCGCCAACATTGTATTTCAACAGGTGGTCTTGGTCTCGGCCGGTACTTGGACGGGGCTCCTTCTTAGCTGGAATCTGAAAATGCACAACAAAAGACACACTAACACACCCAATAACTACCCCCAAACCAGCCTTCTCCCCACAGGAGACCGAGGGTTAGTCAGGCTACAGGTTCCAAACACACACCCCCCCAAAGAAGGCACACCCCATCACTGTTCTCAGGTAACAACCCTGGTCCCACCATGGAAATTGCTCTGTTGCCCTCATCCCTCGGTGGGTGGGTCGGCCCAGTGCCTGCGTACAGCAGGGGCTCAAAGTCACATGGATCTCTGCTTAGATCTATTTCCTTGTCTCGGGAGTGGCCTTTAATGGTGCTTTACTCACGTGGCAAAGAAGCTCATGGAACTCCAAGTCCATCCTCTGGCCCCCTGGCCCCCTGCCCCGTGTCTATCCATCCTTGAGGCACTTGCACCCACAGCGTGGAAGGGCCCAGTGTGACGAGGACATCAGGAGGGCCTCGCAGCTAGTCTCAGCCCCACCCTCAGGAGTTGAGTCCTGGGGCTCTCTGAGCCTCAGTTTATCCATCTTGGAACACAGGTGGGTTAGGTTGGTTAGGAGGCTGAAGACCTGACTGGGCCACGTGCTCCCACACTCTCGTTCTGTTCTCCAGAGTGGCCCCTGCTGTCCTCCTGTGAGCCCGAGCCTCCCCTCAGAGGTGACACACTTGGGCACACCACTGAACCTTTTACAAAGATGAGTGTGCCTGGTGCTGCGGGCTGGCACATGACACACTTTCAAAAAATGTGGGCACTCAGATTATTCCACAGCATCCCAATTTGACATTTATTGTGTCATCCAAGCCACACGGCAAACCCGTGAGGACGAGTATTATCGCCCCCAGTCTAAAGATGTAGAGTCACAAATCAGGTGATTTACCCAAGTGTTAACAGAACCAAGTGACAGGGCTTTTGCGCCAGCCTCGTCCCCTGTGTGAGGTCACCACGACCATGGGCGCCTCCAAGGTCCCCAGCCCAGGTCACTAACCTTGGGCTTTTAGAACCACATTAGCGAGAGCTGAACAGCACCCAAGCACTCAAAAAAACACTTTAAACCCTCGAAGTTCTTCATTACTTGCACAATGTCAAAGAAATTTGAGCCATTCCCCCTTCTACCTGTGGAAATTCTAAATAAAATTCCTCAACTTTAAAGTAAATATCCCAACCTTGGTAATGACACCAAGCTTCCCAGTCCCCGTGCCTGCAGGTGAGCCTGGAGCCTCAACCAGAGACCAGTGGGCACCAGGTGTGTCCTAGACCACCAGCCCCTCCCAAGCTCCTTCTGCCAAGGCCAAGGTCGCTGGGCTGCTCTAGAAAGCTCATCCTCATGTCGGTGGTGGGCCATCCTGAGTGTCACTTTAAGACATGATGACAGGAAGCACCGCGTTCTCTCATGGTAAGTTAGGGCTCTCCACCCCAACCTCTGATGCAGTGAACGCTTGTTCACATGTGTCCTGCGCTGGGGACCAAGAACGTGAATGTGTAAGGCACAGACCCAGTCCTCAAGGAGGCGGACCGCCTGGTGGAGGCGACTGCTGAGTGGGCAGCGAACCGAGTAGGGGGGCCGACAGCGGCCCCGCCACCCAGTCCTGAGACGCGACAGACTCACGGGGCTCCGCTGACCAGAACCAGACTAAAAATGGTCTCCAGAAGGCCTGGCAATGGCCACCCTTGGGTTCAGAAACTGCCTTTCCCCTTTTTAGTCATTTTAATCTGGAACACTGAGTTAACCTATTTGGGCCTCGCAACCGACTCAGCAGGCCCCCATGAGGCCTAAAGGAGGTGACATTGGGGACCCTGGAGCCAGGGCCCAGGCCACGACCAAGGCTCCCTCCTCAGCAGTCAGCCACGCACACAAACATGGTGGCCTGTCCCACCTCCTCCCCCACCACCGAGCACAGTGCCGTGTTGCCCCCACCCACCCTGGACAGAACACACAAACACCTTTCTCTCTGTGGGACTCGGGGTCCTAGCCACCAGAGCTGCTTCGACAAGGCCCTGCTCCAGCAACGAGTCATATCTTATGCTCCTCTTCCTGTTCCTCCTCGCCTTGCTTTCTGCTTTTTGTCCATTTTCTTCCAACTGGGACACAGCAGCAGCACCGTCGCCACAAATGGAAGATTCGAAGAGAGGTTTCCCATTCATGTACGTTTTGGTGATTTTCAGCTTAATCTCCGGAGAGCCATTTTTGACAGGGGTGGCGTTCGGTGGTGTCCCAATCCCCCCCTTCACCTCCTGGGACTCAAAACGCAGTTTGGCATCATGAGCACCAGGTTCCCCATTAAACACGCGGGAAGTGAGGTCTTTCAGCTTCTCCGCGGGAAGAAAGGGCAGTGCCTCGTGGCCGTTGAACTTGTGCATGACCCCGTCCTGCAGGCTGGCAGAGAGGTGGGCTTTGCCCAGGAACACGGAGCACTCGCGGTTCACGTCGCAGCTGGCGGCCTTCCCGTTGCCACTGCCCAGCAGTTCTGGGGCCTGCTTCATCCTCATGCACTTGACAACTTTCGGGACAGAAAGGGGACCTTTTCTGACGCTGACTTCCATTCAGTCCGGATGCTTTTGCTCTCAGGACGCTGCAGTATTAGAAAAAGACAAAGAAACATACTTAAGACCTAAAATGAGTATGCAGCTTTGTGGGGTTTGTTAAGGCCATTCGTGATATTTTAGATAATGATTTAGGCCACAGGAGGCTGTCCTAAAACCACAAAAATGACACAAAATCACAAGACGGTAAGGCTGAAAGGAAAAGAGCAGGAATAGACTTTAAGGAGGACACAGAAGCCCGGCGAGGAGCCTCCTGTCGTGCCACCACTCTAACCAGCAACGTGGCCATGGACACGTCACTCGGTCTGCTTAGTCACTCCCGAAGGGAGACCACCACCAGCCCAGGACATGTCCTGAGGGGCTAACACAGAGCCAGTGTTTAAAACCAGGCCTTTCAAAGCCTGGTGCACTACTAGTGCCAGACTGTCGGGGGGAAAGCAGAAAGCTAGGAGTCAGCCCTGGTCGACACCTGGGCACCACCCCAGCCCCACTACTTGTCCAGGCCCAGACTCAATGCTATGACAGGAGAGCCATAAACTTTACTGAGCTGCCATCAGCTATGAGCAGGTCAAGGCAACTGCCAAGCCCTGGCGTGCGCTCCCTCCATGCTCGCCCCATCCACCTGCGCCCCTCCATGCACGCCCCATCCACCTGTGCCCCTCCACACTCGTCCCGTCCACCTGCGCCCCTCCACGCATGCCCCCTCCACCTGCGCCCCCTCCATGTGCCATGCCAGCCCCACAGGCCAAGAGTGGAGGACGATGGCTTCAGGGTCTTTACCTCACAGCTGGAGTCCCCAGTTAGGAACACCCAGTGAAGGTACCAACACCTCAAAGGGCAGCTAGGAACAAGAACCAAGCAGGCACCCACTCCAGCAGGGAAGACATCCACCAAGGGTGACTGTGACGGCCACCAAGGAAGCCTTTCCAGGAAGGTGGCAAACACAGCATCAGATGGGGGATGAGTGAGAGCAAGGCCTGGGGATGCCACAATGCACACGGCAGCTAGTGAGAGCAAGGACCTGGGGACAGTCCTGCTCCCTAAAAATAGGCAGCCTGTCTGGAAACACTGTGACGGCCACCACCTGGGAGCTGCTACTGACAAGTCCTGGGAGGGGTCAAGGGTGCTGCGAAACATGCCTGCACGCACAGGGCAGCCCTTACAAGAGCTGTCCAGCCGGAAGCACCAGTGTCAAGGTGCAGACACCTGACGTGCACCGTGAGGAAGGGCTGCCACTTCCACAGGAGTGATGGGGAAGGAGGGGACAGCAAAGAGAAGGCGGGGACACGGGAAAGGGCAGGAGCAGCCCAGTCCAGCTTAGCTTCACGTGCATGGGACAACCTTCCCACTTAGGACAAGAGGAGGACTGTCCTGTTAGGGCCGCTTCATGTTTTTAGTGTGGGTTCCTGGTCCAGCTCATGTCGGATTGAGCGGACAACATCGAAAAAGCAACCACACAAAGAGACCAAAGGCAGGAAGAGAAGAATGGGGGTCAGCCTTGGAAAGAAAGGGGCAGCGCGGGGCTAATGTGCACTTTAGTCTGACCTGAGGCGGAGCATCTAGGGTGACAGCAGCAGCGGGTGGGCGCCACCCAGGGCCACACTCCGCCTGTGAAGCGGCCCAAATCCCAGCACACATGCATGGGCTAGGAGCCCTGCAGGTACAATGGCCAACATGGGATTCCAGCTGCAGGATAGAAGCAAGCCAAGCACCACGCTTCACATCAAAACCACAAGGAGATGTCACCTCACACCCAGGAGGATGGCCACCCAAAGGGGCAGAGACACACGTGCTGGCGGGACACGGGGAAGGGAGCCCTGAGCCGTCGGTGGGAACGCAAAGTGGTGCGGCCGCTGTGGGACCCTGTGGGGCCCTCAGAAGTTAAACACAGAACTTCCCTGTGACCCAGCAATCCACTTCTGGACACACACCCAAAAGTGCAAAGGGTCTCGAAGAGACATGTGCACACCCGTGTTCACAGCAGCATCGCTCACTACAGCGAAAACGTGGGGGCCGCACGTGTGTCCACGAGTGGATGGTGGGAAGCAAATGTGGTCCATCCATGCTGTGGGACGCTCCTCAGACTTAAAAAAGAGGGAAATCCTCCCTTCCCCCAATTCCCCAATAAAATCTTTTTAAAAAAAGGGGGGGGGTGTGGGGGAACCAGCCAAGTGGTGCATTGGTTAAGAGTTGGCTTGGGACGCCAGCTCTGAGCAGCAGGGCCCCGGTTTGGATCCCACATGAGGGCCAGTGATGCTGCGGCCTCTACAGCTAAGATGGTGAACAACAGCTCGACCTGGAGCTGGGCTGCCTTGAGTCACCGGCAACGGCGTAGGCTGCAGTGGGCCGCCGTCAGCTACCATGAGTGGCCGGCAGCAGGTGTGAGCTGCCGTGATCCACTGTGAGCGGCTGTCCAATGGCTGGAGAGTGACTGCCTCACCCGGGAAGAGAACAATAATACCAACATGGGCCAGTGAAGCAGCGTCCTCCACAACTAGACTGAATAACAAAAGGACAGCAACTTGTCTGTTCCCCTTCCCCAATTCCCCAATAAAACCTTTTAAATTAATAAATAAAAAGGAGGGAAATCCTGACACCTGCTACACCACGGATGGATCTTGGGGACACTGTGCTGAGGTAAAAGAAGCCAGTCACACAAGACATATACTGTGTGACCCCACTTATAGGAGGTCCTCAGAGTTCTCAGAACAATAGAGACAGGAAATAGAAGGGTGGATGCATGAGCATGGGGGAGGGAGGAATGAAAAGTTAGTGGTTAATAGGAACAGTTTCAGTCCTGCGAGATCAAAGTTCTGGAGAGGATGGTGGTGATGGCTGTACAAAGCGGAAGTGTACTTAACACCATGGAACTGTGCCCTTAACGGTCAAATTTCATGTTATGAATGTTACCAGCAAAAAACCTGCCCTCAGGGAGCTTCCGTTGCAATGGAGTTCCAGGAGAGACAAGAGAGGGTGGGGAAAAGGCAATTTTCAAAGGGACAATGATGGAAATAGTTCCAGAGGTGAAAGGAACTCAAGTGTTTGGGTTAAAAGAGCATGGGGGGGGGGGGGGTTAAAAAAAAAAAAAAGCACCCAGGGTCTTAAACAAGATATAATGACAAATCAATACCTAGACACATCATATGGGAACTACAGAACATGGAGGATAA